CATGTAAACCAAGGATATGTACTGAACACCTTTGGATGGTTGCTAATGGAATTGGGAAGGGAGGAAAAGAAAAGAAGAAGGAAAGGAAGGCCAAGAACCAGGACTTGCATGGACCAGTGGTGCTGGGCACTGTGAACTGGAGAGTAAGGTCAACTCAGATTTTACACTGGGATTTGGAACAAATAAATAAAGTGAACTCAGAGAGGATGGAAGCTGGCACAGAAGGTGTTAACTAAGTGGCAGCAATAACCAAAATCGTATATTAGTATTGATTTAACTATTATGGATAGGGTCCCAGGGCAAATTATTAAAAATACTGCAGATCATTTTTCCGTTTCTTTCCTTTTCCCCTAATCCCAGAAAGAGTCCACCACTGAGTCTCTAAGGACTCCCTGGGGTGAACATGGAGCACCCTTCCAAGGGGACAGGTGGAAGGAGTCCTTGGAAGAGACCAGGGAGATCAACCAACCCATGGGGAGCAGGCCTGGGGAGGAAATGAGTGAGAAAGAAACCCCCAGAGGTGTGGTTTGTGGCATTCCTGAGGACACTGGACATCAGGCATCAAGGTCCTGCCAGTGTGAGGCGCCTGGCATCTCACTGTGCTGGACGATGGGTGTCTAGCCACTTAAGAGCTGCTGTCACTCCCATCCCATTGGATTCCTGGGCAACCCTTGAGAACCTGAATTTCTTACCTCCCATCTGAGCTCCAAGTCAGATTTTATTTGGTGGCACTTTCACTTTTCAGTAGGGGAGAGCAAAGTTTATCCTCACTACACTTGTTTTTCTTTGTACCCCTCACAGCCACCAAGCTCTCCTACTGGCCGTTTGTTTCATGGCGTCCTGGGATGGATCTGGGAAAATGGAGTGTGGAAGCCAGAATTGGACAAAAGCTTGTCTCCAGGATCTGAGCCTGATTTTTCCAGCACTTTCCTTGGAGTCAGCTTGTTGGGATGTACCAGATGACCCTGGGTCACACACTCACTAACCAGTCCATGCTTGGGGACTCTTTTCCAGTCATTAGCAAGTGAGAGTGTGGTGAGTTTATCTGACTGTGGGAGAGACGAATGTGCCATGTTGGGATTTAGAACTATTGGTACCTAGTTCTTGGGGATGCACTCGAAATAGAACTTGTAGAGCAATGCAAATGTGACTGGTTGTGTGACCTTGAGTGAGTCCCTAAACCTCTTTAGGTCTCAGGATCCTTTAGTGTACCAGATTAAGAGAGTTAAGGGAAATAATGCTTACAAAACACCTACAAGGTGCCAAGCACTCTGATAAGGTCTGTGTGTGTGTGTGTGTGTGTGTGTGTGCTGGTGATGATGATATTTGGTGAGGCCCTTCTGTGGGAGCTGAAGCTGAAGTCTGGTGTCTAAACCGACAGGAGACTGTGCCTGGATTCAAGAGGGTGGATCTGTTCTTGGATGAGTCCTAAGTCTATGAGCTGCCATTTTGGGGCCCCTCCATCCTTGATCACTTAAGGCATCTGTGGCTTTCACAGATGACACCCACCTGGAGCCTCTTGTTGGGCCTATTGAAATTGAGTCTCTTCATAATTTTGTTAATAAAAATAACAATCCGTTGGGGCTGGGACTGTGGCTCAGTGGTAGGGTGCTCGCCTAGCATGCGTGAGGCACTGGGTTTGATCCTCAGCACCACATAAATGTAAAATAAAGATATTGTGTCCACCTAAAAAAAACTGGGAAATAAATATTTTTAAAAAATAACAATCTGAGGAGACTTTGCATTGTACATAGTGTTTGGATTTTTTAAAAAATAGACTTCGTAGTGTTTCCACACAGATTGTACTGTATCTGAAAAGGGGAGGTGTATAAGTGTAAGCGAATTTAAAACAGAAATTGACCTTCGTTCATTCGGCTGTGAAAATGCGATACGTGGTCTTTTTATTGTCTGGTCAGAAAACTCCAAAGCCCTCAAGCTTTGCTCTTTTTTGCGATTGCAGATTGCAAAATGAATTATTCAAAGGCCAGAGATGAAGATGGGCCTACACTTTATTGCTGGAGCCCTGAGACTGCACGGTCATTTTCTGAAGATTCATGGGGTCCTGCTCAGGGAATCCAGAAGTCTACCCTTGGCCCTGACATTGGGAGGGAACACCCTGGCTCCAGAAACCCGAGCACTGCCCTCCTGGTTCTCAAGGTCAGGCGGTTGCTGCAGCCCAGTGAATACCAGCTCATGGGGCAAAGGGCTCAGGAGCAGACAGGCTGGCATGGACTTGAGCCCAAGGTACCTGGAAGGTGGGGCTGGCTGCACAGGCTGGGAGGGAGCAAGGAGGATGCGGGGGCTTCAGACTCCCTGACTGCCCACTCAGCACCATTTTCTTCCTTTTCTATATTTTGTTTGGGAAGCTACTCCTCCCCAACTAGACTCGGGGGAAGATGGCTTTGTCTTCGGCTCTAGTGAGAGAGCCCAGTAGGTCCAAGCTGGTGGTTCTCAACCCTGGCTTCACATTAAAATCATCTGGGGGCCTTTGAAAACATCCAGGTGTCTGGAATCCAATCCCTGAGGCTTAGAGCATCATGTCATGCTTTGATATCACCTGGGATACAGGTGATGACCCAGGGACAACATCAGAATCCCTGGGCTGGGAGAACAATGGCCAAAGCCAGATCAGTGGGCCCTGGGGGGTCAGCTTTCCCCCCAAACTGCTCTTTCTAATGGCCAGGAGGGGTGTGGGGTGTGTAAAGAAAGTTCCTCCTAGGCCATGAGCAGGGTGAGGGGTTAGAAGAGTAGGGCTGGGACGTGACAGGCCAGCAGAGCTTGGCTCAGTCATGGAGACTCTGAGCCCACACAGCCACGAGTCAGCCTGTCTTCTCCACTGGGCACCACAAGAATCCCCATCTAAGTTTTCAATATGGCTACTACTTCTTCTCCTTCCCAGGGAAGAGAGCCTGGGGGTGCTGCCCGTCCTGTGGATGGAGAAACTGAGGCTCAGACCATTCTAGCAATTTGCTCAGAGGGAGTGGCTGGAGCATTTGCTCTGGGTTTGAGCACAGTCACCTGGGAACAGCACCCGGGAAGCATCTTTCTGCTCTTCACTTAGCCTGAGAGTGGTGCCTCTCGATTTTGAACTTCAGGAGTTGGCTGACCCAGGGCCCCGTCCCCAGAGCATTATCCAGGAGAGCAGATGGTGGGCTGGAAGCGCCCCTTGTACCCTTCCCCTGCAGCTGGGAACAGTGAATTCTGGGACAGTGAATTCTGGGAGGAAGGACAGTGAATTCTGCTGCTTCTCCTCTCTCCACCCTTCCTCCTGCAGTGGCCTGACATGTGCCTCCCATGACACCATCTTGTTCTCTGGGGCTCCCCCAGTGTCTGATATCTAAATTTCATACCATTAGGGTATCATCTGGGTGCTTCTGGTTGCGGGCCGGGGCTGAGGCTCATTGCTTGAGTTTGGTTGAGTTTTGCCTGTAAATCTCGTCTTTAGAGTTGGGACAGAGCTGGAAGCAGAGCCGAGAGATGACTTTAGGCACCTCCCCTCATTATAGGAATGAAAAAGCTGAGGTCCCCAGGAAATTAGGACTCTGTATACGGACCACTGCTTCCCTGGAACTAGCAGGGAAAAGGTCCCTTGTGTGAAAATCCTTAGGGTGGGGCCACCCAGACAGAGAATCAGCCCTTGAGCAGGTGCACAGGGCGTGCTGGTTCTCCTTACACATCAGAGAGCTGAGGCAGGCCAGGGACGGTGTGATCTGTACAAGGTGACAGAGCACAGGTATAGGATCCCAGCACAGGGACGTGAGAATCCAGAGACCTTCGCTCTGAGGGAACCAGTGATTGTGGCCCCAGCCCCTGTCCTGGGAGACATGGGTCCTGGGTACCCGCCCATTTCCCATCACTTGCTGCACATCTGGAACCCAATTGCAAAGGCAGTCACCTCTGGGGGTGCACAGTTCCAGGGGGTGGGGGTTCTGGGGTTGTAGCCTGGCTATGGTTCACCACCTCCACTACCAAGGGGACTGCTGGATCTGCATGGTGCCACCGAGCCTCACCTCTCCTATGCCCCAGGGGACAGCAGCCATCAAGCTGGGCCCACAGGTACCACCAGCAGGGTTCCGGCCTTTGCTTGCTGGAGAACGGGCGTGTTTTGCAGAGGCCACAGGTTCATCCACCCCTGTGCCCACTCCCTACTCACGGTGCTGTGTCCTGAAGGCTAATCAACTTCCCAAGTGTCACATTAGTGTGCACGAGTGCATTTGCCAGGTGTGGGTAACAAACCTGCCCTGTGTGCCCTGCCCATCTGGTGCACACATTCAGTGGCCCGTGTGCCAATTTGCTAGGACCTTAAGGTGAAATACCACTTTCCTCTCTGTCCTCTACCCCTTTCCCACTTACAGTGGTTAATTCTATATGCCTGAGTCACAGGGCTCAGATATTTCGTCCGACATTTTTCTGGATGGTTCTGTGTGTATTTTGGATGGACGCAATTAACATTTAAATGAGTTAAACGGTGACACTGCGAAGAGCAAGTTATTCTCCATAATGTGAATTGACCTCATCCAATCAGTCGAAGGTCTGAATAGAACAAAGTCAGGGTTCTCCTGGGCAAAGAAGCTTCTGCACAAGCTGCCTCTTGACTTGAACTACAGCCACAGCTTGTCAGCTTCACCCATCAGATTTGGGTTGGATTTGCCAAACCTCCATAATTGCACCAACCAGTTCCTTAAAATACATCTTTCTTCCTACATAGACATCCTGTTGGTTCTGTTTCCCCAGAGAGCTCCACTAGATCACCTTTATCTGGGGACAAGGGACAATCACTCAAACATTAAGGGGGCTCTCCTTACATATGGTCCTCTGGGGACATCTCTGTGATATCCAGGGATTGCCTCTGATTCTCCCTCTTCAGGTCTGTGTTGCTCTAAAACTCTCCCTTCATCTGGCGATGTAGGATAGGGCAATGTTGTGATTCACCCATCGGGCAAGAAGGAGGGCCAGGAGCTTCAAGTGGGAGGGACCCAGAGTCAGAACGGTTCCCTCTCGACGTCTGGGAATGATATTTATTCATATTTATTTATATAATCCACAGTACTTTGGCATCATATATGATTTCTGAGTTGAGTTTTTTTACTTGTATGTTTGACATACAAATCTTTTGATTGTGGAGAAACTTACAAAATAGGCTCTGGTTCTGAGATTGATTTATAGATGGGAAATGAGACAGTACTGGTGGCCCCAACCTGCAGGAGAGGAGAACATGGCCTGTCCCTAAGCAACCTGCAGACTCTCCTTGATGTGGCCCCTCATCCTCCAGTCTGGTAAAGTTCCATCCTAATCATGCCACAGTCAAAAAGCAGCTTATATTTAGGAGTGGATTCTATTTTTTCCTGTGTGCACAAAAACAAGCCTGGCATGGTGACAGAGAAAGAGTCTTTTAGAGAGAGAAAAGGACATCTTAGGAGCTAATTACAATGACAAAAATTGGAGTAGACAGCATCTAAACCATTGTCCAGCTTGGAAGTGCTTCCCCGTTGCCTCCAAGCACGCTGACTGACTCCTTTGCTACGGGTGGCACAGTGGCTTGGGCGTTGTTCTGCCCACAGTAACCAAAGAACACGAGGATCATCACAGGGTGCCGATGGCATGGGAGCTGGGCCTTGTGGTTGCTACCAGTTGATAGACAGGGGTTGAAAAGTCACACACAAAGCAAAATGAACTGAATCATTAGAGTTGTGGGTGGGTATATGGGGAATGGGCTTGGAAGCAATTTCCACCAAGCTCCTCAGAGCAGGAGGGGTTGCTCCAGGGTCCCTGGTGAGTCAGTGGTTGGCTTCTCTTCTTTGCCCTCTACCATGCTGAAGCAGATGGCATAATCCAGCTATGAACCAACCTGCCTGCTAAGGGCCAAGTCATGTCCTCTCCCAAATTCTTACATTGAAACCCTAATCCCTAGGACCTCAGAATATGACTATGTTTGGAGACAGGACCTTTAAGGAGGTGATCAAATTAAAATTGATCATCTAGTTAATTGCGGTGGACCCTAATCTAATTGGTTGGCGTGTTTATAACAGGGAATCTAGACATACCAAGAGACCTCGGGGGCACATGGGCAGGAAGACTGTGGGAGTCACAGCAAGAAGGAGGCCATTTGCAAGCCAAGCAGGAGGCCTTAGAAGAAACCAGTCCAGCCAACAACTTGACCTTTGACTTCCAGTCTCGGGAACCATGAGAAAGTAAACTTCTGTTGTTTGAGCCTCTCAGTCTTGGTGGTTTCTGGCAGCCTGAGTTGAATAAGACGCTGCCTTTCCCCAGGCGCCTGCGGGATGGCTTCCTGTACCTCGTGCCAGACCCCTCCACAGTGGCTCTGTATCTAATGGCATCTCCAAGAGAAAAGTAGACACGGCAAAAAATGCACAGCGAGGAGAGCATGATATTGTTTTTCTATCTAAAGCCTGAAAATCAAAAATGTACAAGATGAGCCAACTCCTGGAGATCGGAGTGGGTCATGGTGGCAGTGGTTCCTCCGCCATTTTCCTCCTGGGAACTTCACAGAGGTTTCCTGACTCCTAGCTAGGGTTCACCCCAGGAAAACAGGTGTCACCCACCTGTTCTTCTGGAAGCACCTGACTTGCCTACTATGTCAGATGTTCACCTATATTAGGGTTCTAGGAGTATGTGCTGGGAGCCATTAGCCAAGTAGGTATGACAATTTCCTTGCCAGCGTACCCCATGTTGCTGACATGTTGCAGTGACATTGAATGTAGGTGACCTTGCTCAAGGACCAAGGCAGATTAGGGTGTTCCCGGTTTTAAGATAATCGTGTTTAGGGCGTTCCCAGTTTAGGTTCCAGGTTTAAGGTTTAAGATTATTCCTGCTGGGAATAGGGCGTATCCTGCTGCCTGAGTTCCCCTTGAGTTCTCACGGGATTTAGACAGTATATTTTGTGAGACAGAAGCCCAGTGGAGGTGGATTTGGGCAGAGAACGTGGATTTGGGCAGAGAACGTGGATTTCCCCAGAACGTGATTGTAGACGGCTGGTGTGAGTTCGGGAATAAAGAGTTGCTGTTTGAATCTACAAGCTGTGTGGTGGCTTGTGATTGTGTGCCCAGCCAGACTGCGGCAGTATGTTCACAGGCTCCCTTGGGGGGGGGGGCAGCTGGAGCAGTCTGAGCCTGGCTTGGTTAGGCTCCAAATGCGCCCGGTGTCACCAAATCCAGCTCCAAATCCCAGGGAGCTCCTTTGAAAGTTGCCTTATACTTAGGTGATATAGACACCTGTCTATGTGATTAGACTGTAGGGCCTTCAGTGGGAAATATGGCCCTTGTACACAGGGACAGTACCTCCAGGAACAGACATAGTACCTGGTACTACTGACCCAGACCAACTGAATTCTCAAATTCTCATTGACAGAGTCCCCTCTTTGGGTTAAGGCATTAAAGGCCCCTGTTGAATCTGTGATTAAGGGGCCATGCTATTAAGACAGCTGCCAAACACCTCTTTGTGAGTTCATCAGCGTGGCCTCAGACCCAGCCTTAATGCCTGGGTTCAGGGCTGCTGGGCTCTGGAGGACGGGATGAGGGAAGGTCCATCGCCTGGGTGGTGGGGTTCCGCAGGCAGGTGTGTTTTGTGGAGGGAAGTGTGTGACAAAAAAAAAAAAAAGGAGACAGCATTTCAGGGGGAATGCCGGCGACACTTCTCAGAGCCAGCCACACCTCCCTCTCAGAGTCATTTTTCGGCTGGATGGCCCAGGTCACGAACGTGAGGCCAGGCCAGGTGGCAAGCACTCTAGTCCTGTTGCTACATCAGGGACTCAGCATCTCAGAACTGGCCTTGGCCGGGTGTGGAGTTGGGAGTGTGGGTACAATAACAACCAGAACACCAGCTTCTCCAGGGCAGGGGGCGCTGCTGAGCCACTGCGGGGATTGGCACCCCAGAGGCGGGGCTTCACCTACGCTCTCAGCCAATCAGTGTGCTCCCTGGCTCCAGGGTCCTGACATCCACGGGAGGTGTGAGCTACTCTGGGAGAAGCAGGGAGAGAATGTGGTCAAACAACAGGGCTAAGCAGCGGGTGGCCTGGGCTTGGCAACCACAGGCTTGGGGCTCAAGGGCCATCAGGGGAGGAGGGCAAGGGCTGTCTGGCTGTCCACAGTCCAGGCAGGGAGGTGCTGGGGTTCAGCAGGGAGAAGATGACATCTGGTCATAGTCGGGGCACTTGAGCAAGGCTGGGTAGTTGCTGTTCATCTGAAGGGAGGTGTCGCTGGAGATGTCGGAGGGGCTGCGGCCCCGGATCCAGGCATCTGGGTGCAGGAACTGGCCGGAGTAATCGGAGCAGTTACTCAGACGTGGACGGTAGAAGCCAGGGTGAGGCCTGTACATGTCCTCGGCCGTATACCTCTTCATGAACAGGTACACAGACATCACCCCTGCACTCTACAGGGAGGAGGAAGGAGAGAAGAGCTCACTGCTCAGGCCTGGCCGGGATCCCCCTGCTGGGGTCTGCCCAGGACACAGTCATGGGGGACCTCAGGAAAGGTGGTCAGTAGATGTGGGGACAGAAGTGGGCCCTGGAGACACCCTAGATAGAGGAGCCCTGGGAAGGCCAGAGAGTGGCACATGCTAGATGTGAAAAAGGGTCATGAAGCTGGTGTTTCAGGATACTTATGGAATGCCTTCCTTCTCCCAGCCCAGCAGGGCAGCCCATTCTGACACGGGACACAGTGGGCAGGTTACCTCTGTTAAAAGGAAGGAGATGGCAGCAAAGGCAAATGACCATCCGTATTTGTAGTTGAAATAGGTCTCTGCATCCTTGGTCCTGTTGAGCATCTCGTCATTGATGCTGGAGATGTAGAGCACTAGGCCCACCACAAGAGAGAGGCCTGGGAGAAGACAAGGGAGGGAAGGGGACACTCAGCACAGAGGCCCAGGAGCTTGCTGATGTGGCATTCATCAGGAACAGAGCTGCTGGACTTTTAATCACAGTGCATTCATTTTGGAGTTCAAGGGCAAGCAGGAGCTTGCTTACTGAGGATCCTGTCTAGACCAGCACCTTCTAGATAGTGGTGGATAGCTGCAGCTCAGGAAGCTCCCTGTCCAGCCACCCTCCTGAGCCAGGGACCAAGCCCGGTGGTCCTTCCCCAGCTGCTCACATCTGCCAAACACACCTGCCTGAGCCCCAGCCCTGGACATTCTCATGTGCTGGGCCTGGGCTGGAACCCTGGCACTGTATTGTTCTAAAAGCTCCCCAGGTGACACTAACGCAAACCAACGTGGAGGTGCACACCCTGGGCTAGCAAGTGGCTTCTACAAAACTGAGAAGAAGATAGGTTCCCCGAGCAGGATGCCAGGCCTTTATCCCTCTCTCCGGCAGCAGGTGGTGCACAGCACTGTGGCATCTACTGATGTGGCCAGAGGTCTGTGCAGCCCACCTGAGCACAGGGCAAGGCCTATCTGAGATCTTTAGGCAAAAGACTAAAAACAGTATGTGCAGATTCTGGCTAGCATTTAACTGGGAGGCCACTGGGACCCAAACTCCTCCTGCCATTATGTAAATGACTGCCTCCGGCATCAGTCTCATCAATTAGTAACTGTAATTGAATCAAGACCTAATTAATTACTCTGTGTTGAGCTGTTCGGGTTTTAATTCTATTCACATTATTACACGAAACTCGGGCATCTCAAAGGATGAATATTAGAGTGAAATAGATGTGATTCAAACCTTTCTAAATACCTAACTCATGTGTGAATCATTAATGTCCACACATGCCATTCTCTATTGTTATCAAAACAATTTCATGTGGCCTCGCCCAATCCTAGATTTCTGTGGCCCACTCTCGAAATCTCAGGAGTCCCAAAGCAACTGTAGAGCCTGGGCGATGTGAGGTTCACAGCAGGAAGGGTAAAGAGCTGAAACCTGCATCTGTATGTCTCTACATAGGAGGAAATATCACCATGCGAAGGTTGGGCTGGTGATATTGCAGGTGCTCCATAAATATTTGTTGGGTTGATGGATAGAAGGGCAGAAAACTGGATTAACAGATGGAAGAATGGCAGATGGGTTGGTGGGTAGAGTAAAGAATAGTTGAACAAATTGAAGAAAGAATGGTTGGGCATATGCATGGGTGGATGGATGGAAGGAAAGAAAAAGAATGGTTTTTGGTCATTAGGCAATCTGACAGCCGCCTGGCTACCAAGCTATATTGACAAGAAAATATTGAAAAAGGGATCCTAAAGTGACTTGGGAGTCAGATGGCAGTCATAATGCCTGGTGCACAAGAGCTCCTTCCTTCTTTCCTTCCTGTCCACCTGTCCATCCATACACCATTCAAACCACCCACCCATCTTCCACCTCATATTCTCCTTCCTACCCTCCTCTCTCCAATCAACAAGTTCAAGGCACCTAAAATGCATGCCCTGAGAGTCACTTCTTTTTGGCTCAAGTCATTATCTTCAAAAGAAAAGGTGTCCATGAAAGTGTACAAGTCACCCTGAAGGGGAGAAAGAGTGCACCTCTCTCCACACACTCCCTGGGAGTCACCACATCCATTTCCATCCCTAACAGCCTTCTAGATGTCACCTGGACATCTCAAACTCAGCATTTCCCGCATGAAATTCATGAACTTTGCCTAAATCTCTTTTTCCTGTGATCCCTGGATCACTGCTGTGCTGTTCCATCGACTCAGTGCCCAAGCAAGAAATCATGCCCAAGCACTGACCCTCGACTCTGCCCTTGAAAGTCTACCCCTCGACCTTTTGAGTTTACCTCCCAAATGACACTTGACCTTCTCCTTTCTCTCTGTGGCTCCGTCCATCACTCCTGCACCCACCACGAGGAGTAATGATTCCATCCCATTCCCCCCACGCTTCGTCTTTTCTCTTCCCTCCAGACCTTCCTCCCCTTCCACCCAGCCTCACTCCTTTGCCTAATTCCCACTCACTTCCAAGTCATCCTCCATCCACCTGCAGCTCTCCTGCCATCTTCTCTGACCAACCCTTGGCCTGAATTGTGGCTTCTGCTCTGGGCTCTGCAGCAGTCCTTGCTGGCTCCCATCATGGCCCTTTCTAGGCTGGGTTCTAGTTCCATCTACTTGTTTGTATCTCCACTCTGCAGTCCTTTTTGCAGGCTGCGAGACCAGCACCCAGAATAAGGCCTAGTAGGTACCATGAAGGACTGAAGTGCAACCTGGTGCCAGTCCAGGAAGTCAGGTCCATGGCGAAGGGCCCCTGGTGGGTCCAGGGCATGGGGTGTGATGGGCAAGTGAAGAGGACATCAAGAGTCTCCTGAGGATAGCTGAGGGCTGGAGACTGAAGGGACATAAATACAAAGGCAGACAGTTTTATTTTTCAGGCCCAAACATGACAACACCAGCTGCTTCAGGAACAGGGGTCTTCCTCCTCGGTGGGAGCTAGAGAGGCAACACCCGGGTTCCCAGCCCAGGTCTGCCCCAGGGAGAGCCTGTCAGGTCACCCCCACTCCAAAGCCTCTTTGCTTTTCTGCCAGGTCGTGGATGGGCCTGGGGTCATCAGAAGTCTTCTCCAGCCCTGACTCAGTTCTGCCGGGCTCACTGACTTGTCCTGTTTCCAGTGCCAGGAGCTGACCCACAGCCATGACTGGCACTTCCTGCAGCAGAGCCATTCAGGAGTTAAACATCAAAAGTCCAATGCACAAAAAGGGAAAAAATTGCCACTTACCCGAGAGGATAAAGAAGATGCCAGAGACAAAGGCCAGTATTGTCCTGTGGGGACGGATGTGCCCGATGTTGCTCAGGATAAACCCGATGAACATGAAGAAGAGGCTGACCAGAGGGAATGGTGTGGCCGAGCGAATCATTTCTAGTTAAAGGGACGAAGGAGCAGCCTGTCAGCCTCTAGCGGTCTCACCCACACTCCTTATCCCGAGTACAGTGTTCTGTAGTATCTAACCAGGGTCCTCCAAGCCGCACCCCTGCATGTGTCCCTAGAGCCATGACCCATGGGGTGGCCTGGGGACCGCCCAGTGCTGGTAGGGCTTTTGTCCCTGAGGCAGACAGAGCCAGAAGGTCTGGCTTCAAGTGCTAACATATTCAGAGCCTGTCTTCTCTGGGCATAAACTACTTCCTCCTCGGAGTCTACACTGACTGCCATATGGTAGCTGTGGAAGGACCTGGTCATGACATCTTGTTTCTTCTCTCAGCGACAGTCACCATTTCCATGTGCAAGGGGCTGCCCTGAATGGTGCAGGAAAAGTCACTGGCCTCTGTCTTCCTCAACCTATAATTACTTTTTGGGAGCATTTCTATTGTGTACCAAAGACTTTGATCTTTTTCCCAGTTCCCTGAGAGATAGCATCCAAATCCTTAGAATTTCCTAAGTGACAGAGTGTCTTTGTTAGTCATGATGGTCCCTAGGTACACCTGAGTTTATACCAACAGGTGACTCAGGACGGGGCCTGGAAAGAGCATCCACGTGATTAGAGGGTTGGGGTTTTGAGCCACAGGAAGGGAAGAGCTAGGTATTGAGTTCATTAACTCAATGGATGGGGTCTACTTAATAAAATCCAACAAAAACTCTGGACACCAGAACTCGGTTGAGCTTCCTGGGTGGTGAACACATCCATGTTTCAGGACAGTGATGCATTCTGATTTCAGCAGGAGAGGACACTGAAGATCTTCATTTGAGACCCTGCCAGACCTTGTCCTGTATGTCTCTTTGTTTGGCTGGTCCTGATTTATATCTTTTATAATAAAATCGTAATGTGAAGTATAGCACTTGCTTGAGTTCTGTGAACCATGTTAGCAAAATGTTGAACTCTGGAAGCCACAGGAACCCTCAAACTTGTACCAAATTGGCTAGAAGTGCAGGTTGCCTAGGGACCTCTGATCACGTGTCTGGCATCTGAAGTAAGGACAGTCTTGTTGGAAACTGAGATCTTAAACCTGTGGAATCCATGTTAACTCCAGGTGATTAGTACCATGGGCCTTCCATGGGCTTTCATGAATTTGAACAACTGAAGATTCAAAGAGATGATTTAAAGTCTGAGGAGGAATGCGTGTAAGTTATATGCAAGTACTACTCCATTTTATATAAGATTTTTGTATCTGTGAGGGACCCTGGAACCAAGCTCCTTCACATAGGAGAGATGACTGTTTCAAAGTTGTTTTGCAACATCGCAAGCTCCCTATGGGATCAGAAGTAACTCTGGTGAGCTCAAGGTCATGAAGTCAGTCCCCTTGTAGTCCAGGGAGACCCTTTTAGTTTCCTGGGTATGAATGAACTCTCAATTGCTGGGGTCACAAGACTTGGAGACTGAAATAACCTGTCTCTACCACTGGAAAATTAGTCTGCAGGGCAAGTGTTAGTGAACTCAACACGCTGAGGTTAAGCCCCTTAGCTCTTGAGAACACCCTGACTTCCTTTTGCCCTGTTTTATTCTGTGTAGCCAGTGGCCCAGGTTAGAGAGATCAATACACCTACTTAGAACATTGACTGTGGACTCGGACGTCAGCTGGGAGTTCATGGGCATCACATATTCTATGGTAAAGCAGCGTCCCCGCTCCTCACCTAGGAGACAAGAATTACTTATATTTCTAGGTTCTTCATGAGCATGGATTTGAGGTTAGTACATTCAAGTGGTATTTCCAAATGCACATTGTTAGAGTCTGTAAACAAGTCAGGATGGCGCCTGGCATCGGACTGCGGCAGCACATAAGATCTTTGACTTGCTGTGTCATTGCACATGAGCTGAATACAAACCCTAGGGTCCCGCACTGGTGACCCACAGGCAGGGTGGGATATGTTCTGACATCACATCCTTCTGGAGCATGGTCCTGAGCACTACAAATTGCATGATAAGAGGTCAGGACTGGGAACCCCACACTGGGCAAACGCCCCACTGTGTCTCCTTGCTTCTGGGTGGAGGGGGCTGATGGGAGTGCGCGGCTGGCTTAGATTCATGAGTGTGGGTGTCACAGAACAGGTCCTGATGACTTCAAGTTCTGCTTCAGATTTAAGTAGAGCCTGACGCCACACAGTCTGGGGCAGTGGAAGATCAGGTCAGAATGGGAGGCTCAACAAGTGACCAGGAAGCCAGGCCTGCTGAATCCCATCCCACCACCATCCCACCCGCCACACAGAGGTCACAGAGCCTCACTTGGAAAAGCCCAGTGACCACTCTGTGGCTGTCCCAGCCAGCCCAGGCTTGCAGCCATTCTTGCAGGACATGGGGATGCTTTTCTTGTGCAGGCTGGAGCTGGGCGGTGATAAGGAGATCAAGAGCAGAGCTCTTGGAGCACGGTGCCAGGGAAGCCCTGGTGAGCTGAGGGGAGGCCCAGGTAGGTAGGTAGGTAAGTATGATCAAAACCGGCACCACCCTGCAGGGCCCCAAGGACCTGCTTTGGGTTTTCCTGTGTCACAGAAGAACAGAGAAACCGCTTAGTATTTCCTGTCCTGCAAATTAGGGGAGGCTGACTTAAGCTCCTGAGTGATTTGTAGAGTGGAAGCCATAACAAGCTTGGCTTCAGTGTTGGAGGGTTACACAGGATCCCAGCTCGAGGAGCTGAGATGTGCAAGAGCAGTCGGCACCTGCTCAGGTCATCCCAGTCGGCCCTGGGGGCGGGGCATGGGAGGGCGGAGCCTCAGGAGGGGACCTGGGAGCTGAGAGGCTTGCTCAACCCATTATCCACTGGAGAGTCCGCTCCCCTGCTGGGACCAGGTCCTGGTCACTGCATCCAGCACAGTCCCCAGAGCTTGTGGGGATTGTCTGTGACAACTGTCCCCTTCCAGTATCTCTTCCCCGGGAGGAACCACTTGGGGCAGGTTTTCCCAGTGGGGGGCTGGTGCCCTTACCTGCCAGGAAGCAGACCCGCCAGAGGCCCGAGTGCAGGGACATCTTGACCTCAGTGCTCTGATTCTGGGGCAGGACCACGCCTTCCTCCAGGTACAGCCAGTAGTCGGTGCTGACGGCGATGCCCAGGAGGCCCAGGCCGCAGACGGCAAAGACGCTGCTCAGCAGGGTCAGCGCCTTCCTCCCGCAGGTGCTCATCTTCCCGGCCACTGGCTGGACGCCGGCCCGCACGGTGTTGGCTCTGAGAAGGGAGGGTGAGAAGGCCAAGATGAGGAGCAGTAGCATGAATAAAGACACCAGGTAACTCAGGGGCTTCGGTCTGAGCAATAGAGTTGTTTTTTTTTTTTTGGTACTGGGATTGAACTCAGGGGTACTTGACCCACTGAGCCACATCCCCAGCCCTATTTGTATTTTATTTAGAGACAGGGTCTTGCTGAGTTGCTTAGTGCCTCACTTTTGCTGAGGTTGGCTTTGAACTCACAATTCTCCTGCCTCAGGCTCCCAAGCTGCTGGGATTACAGGCATGTGCCACTGCGCCCAGCTAGTTGTTTTTTTTTTGTTTTGAAGCTTGCAAAGCACTGCATCAAGTTCTTGAAGAATCACATTACATACTGTGTAAAAGGCTGGAAAGCCTGTTTGGCTTTGCAAAATCTAGAATTTTCCAAACTTATTTGACCACAGAATGGCATCTCCATCGTGTTCTGGGAAACCCACTCTAGGAACCATGTTGCCCCCATGAAGAATAAGAAGACCTACTCTGTCCACGCTACAGAATTGCTGGGGGGTTGACTGCAATGTCAGAAGTCACTGTTTTGAAAAATCAGAAGCACATTCCTGGTGCAGGGTTTTATTATTAGGCAACAATGGACTAAGCCCCCGCTTCTTGCAGAGCAGACAGATCAGAGCTCTTGAAATACAACAGCTGCTGCCTGGCAGAAGCTGAGCAGCCAATTTTAATGTTAAGCTTGGCAGAGAGCTGAGAAAGATTTGGGTCTTGGAGATTTGGAAGGATGGAAGTAGAGAGGAGATTGTATCTGAATCTAGAAAAGCAAGACATAAAAGAAGAGGTTGAAGGTGACCTTGCCTGCTAATCTCTGCAGCAGCAGACCCCAAAGCCTGGAATGTACTGAGGAAAACCCTCAAAGTCTTAAACCTTCCCAGAGAACTCCACATGGGGTGAAAATAACAACCTTATTCATTATACAGATATATTTTATGCTTCTATTGTGTCATTGTATTTATTTGTCAATAAATAATATCATGGATCGAGTGCCAGGCTACTGTGCAGAGTCCTCTATGTATCACGTGTCTCAGGACCTCAAAGCAATCTTGGAAGTAGTGAGTACCGGTCCTGCTTTGTGGATGAGGAAACTGGGGCTTAGCGATGTTATGTAGCCTACAGGACACTGTTGGTGCATGGCAGACCACAGATTTAAACCCCGTCTGATTCCACATTCTTGCCCAGATGACATCATATATATATTTTTTTAAAAGTTTTTTTAGGGCTGGGGATGTGGCTCAAGCGGTAGCACGCTCGCCTGGCATGCGTGCGGCCTGGGTTCGATCCTCAGCACCACATACAAACAGGGATGTTGTGTCCGCCGAGAACTAAAAAAAAAAATAAATAAATACTAAAGTTTCTCTCTCTCGCTCTCTCTCCTCTCTCTCTCTTTAAAAAAAAAGTTTTTTTTAGTTGTAAATGGATGCAATACTTTTATTTATTTATTTTTGGTGCTGAGGATTGAAATCAAGGCCTCACACATGCTAGGCAAGAGATCTACCACTGAGCTACTGCCCCAGCCCCTAGACAACACTATCGTTTACTGAAGAAATAAATGGCTTCAGGGAGTGTGGGGTGAAGGACAAACACCCAAGGTAGGTTGCTTAGGGAATCCGGAAATGTAGAAGACATCATACTTGGAAAAATTTCTTTTTTGCACGGCCCAGGGTTACATAAGGGCTGTTGCTTGATACTTTGGGACTCCCAGTTGGATGTCATCCGGCAAATCCCCTGGTATCCGTGTCATGGTGGTGCTCTATGACTCAGCATTCCTGATTCAGAAAACCACCATGCAGGGAAGCAGGACTCATACTCCCCTTAACCCACACCAAAGACATTCAAGTTCCAGGGTAGGAGTCCCTGAGATCACCCAGCCTGCAACTTGGAAGGATGAGGGTGCAAAATGTAAATATTTTGAGCACTGATTCAGTGCTTCTTTCTCTGGAGTGCACGGAGAATGACAACACAGTAAATGAACATTACCTGTACGTCCCTCTCTGGAAACACCACCATTATTAATACCTTACTTCATGGCTAGAAGGTTCTTGCTTAGCATCTGGACGGCCATCTTAAGTGACAACCACCATTTTAAGGAAAAAGTTTTGCTTTCCCGCCCAAGGGCCTTTCTGAGAAAGACTCACCACTCCCTCCTACCAAACCCAACCCTTAATGGCCCACGTTAGGACCTGCCTGGCTCTGATTCCTGAGCCTCCCCAATAAAAGTCCCGGAACGCAAGCCTGTGTTGCCTCTCTCTCCTATAGAGAGAGGGCCTTTATTGGTCAGCTCTGAAAAATAAACTCTCGTGTGGATCTCTGCCTGGTCTCTGTCTTTCATTTCTTGCTTACCCATCTCTCGTTCCTCGCTTTCCTTTCAATGGCTATGCCGTCTTTTAAAATTTCCTATGTAATTGTGCATGCGAGTCTGCACATTCTCCCACCCAAGGCCTTCAGGAGGCCCCTTGGAGACACTGTGGTTGGAATGGATTCCTAGCTCTTACAGAATCAGGGGAACTCACTGCTTCTCCATGCTGTGAATCTCCTCCCTGTTCGATTATGTTCATTTGTTTTATTCTGAAGGGAGGAAGGCAGACATTTTTTATTAGTTGCCACCCCAAGAAGAGATGTTGACCCTCTAATGTTCAATGAACAAAGCTGACTGCAAAACCATCATTTACTATCAGCTCTGCTGCGTAAAAAATGCACAGACTGGGAAGAAATAAAACCGAAATATTGACGGTAGATGCTTCCAGGTAATAAGGTTATGTATATTTTACGCTCTTTATGTTTTTCTGTGCTCAATAAAGATTGTAAAAGAACATGCGTTATTTCTATAGCTAGAAAAGAAAACTAAATTAAAGTTTAGAGACATCAATTCTGCAACCACTGCCCTTGCAAACAATAAATGCAGGGCTCTGGCTAACTCCTGGGCTGGGGACGCCAAAATGCAGTGTCACTCTTGGAAAACTGGGGCTCGGAAGCTTGACAGCTTTGAGCATTTTAAGATGATTACCCGGTGCCATTACCTCTAAGTATTAGATTGTTAATTATCAGAAATTAACAGTTGCTAATTATTATCCATGGCTGGCAATTAGGGAGAAATGTCTTGTGGAGATTAAATCACTAATGGCACATTTTCCCTCCCAAGCCAATAGTAAAAGGGTTTCAAAGAGTGCTTAGGGGCTCCGAGGCAGGTGAGGTTAAGGGTGCCCAGGAGAGTCTAGCTATGGGACCGCTGAGGAGGATGGATGGAGGACAAACTCACATGTCCTGATCCCAGTCTCCCACTGGCCTCCAAAAGACCCCCATCGTGCTTTGATGAAGGGTTCGGGATTCTTGACAAAGCTTTGCAGCCAGTGACAGCAGCTGCTCTTGGGAGCAGGCTCAGTGACTCAGTGTTGGCCTGGCCACTGGCCAGCAGGGTGAGCTGGTGATCAGAGCAGAGTCTCCAGTGGTCCTGTAACCCTGCTCCTTCCCACCAGGCCGCCCCGTTATCTTCTATGGCGGTTGACGCTCCCCCATTAAGCAGTGGGGTGTGTGTGTCCTGCCCTTGGTGCGGCAGGTCTGTAACTGCACTGATGTTAAAGCCCACAGTAGGAAGGCCATGCATGGGCTTTCTGAGGCTGGGTCATAAAAAGAGATGCAGCTTCCTCCTGACTCTTGGATGCTCACCAAGGGGAAGCCAGCCTTGGTGGTAAGAGACCCCACTCCCCTGAGGTCCCCACACGTTAGGACAGTGCTTCTTGGCTGCAGCCCTATTGACATTTGGGGCTGGATGGTTCTTTTTCTCGGGGGGCTGTCATGTGTGTGGCAGGTGGTTTAGCAGGATCCTTGACCTCTTCCCCACTCGATGCCAAAATGTCAGACAAAGTTGTCCTGTTGGGGAAAAATGTTTCTAGTAGGGAAACTGTTTTTGAGGCTAGGTGCAGATGTCTTGGTGGACAGTGCAGCGGAGCTTCCAGCCCACAGCCGGCTGCGAGTCATGAGATTAAGTCTTCCTAGATGGACATCTAGCCTGGATGAGTTGCAGCCCAGGACAACATCCAACAGAAACTATATGAAAAATCACAAGAGCTGCCCAGCTGAGCACTCCCCAAATTCCTGACCCCCAAATCAAGAGCAAAATGAAACACTTGTTGTTTTATGCCACTAGGTTTCAAGGTAATTTGATACACAGCAAAAGTTACTAAAATAGCTTCTTTACTCACTTAATTAGCATCTTCTTCTCATGGCCTAGATAGACTGTAAATCCAAGGTGTGGCTTTGGCCCTGAATGTAACTTAGTGATGGAGGGCCTGCAGCTCATAGTCTATTCCTTGGAGTTTACAGCCACGTGAGGTGTGAAGAGCATATGGGATCAGGCAAATTCAAGTGGAGGTGCTGGCTCTCCTATGTACCCATCCTGGGCAAGTCATATCTCCACTCTGAACCTCAGTCTCTTCCTCTGTAAAACAGGAATAACCTCATAAGAATTCTTGTGAGGATTTATGAAAGTGTAATAGAACAAGGCTTGGCTACCTCTTGAACTCTCAGTATAATGCTAAGGTAACAGAGTAATACAACTTGATCCGGGAAGAGTAATAAATACCAGGGCAGATCGGAGAAGCTAAATTTGCCCCTGCAAATCAGCAAAATGGCCTGAACTTTTTACTTCCACCCAACAATCTCCTTCTTATCGTGGCAGTTGCTCTGCAGAGTTTATTTATTTATTTATTTTTCATTTCCACCCCTGGCAAATTTCAACCCTCCATCAACCAGTTGGAGACATTTTAGGTTTTCTCATATTGTATAAGGATGTGGAATGCCTTCCTGGTGGGTAGTGCGACATCTCTGTAGACAGATCACAAAGACAGTATTAGCAAACATGGGTGCAGTGCTTAATACCGTTGAGCACAGCAGATGCAGCATCAGAAGGACCTTGTCCCTTGGAGCTTGGAGACCTCCAGGTCATTACTGTCTCACTGTCCTAATGTGGCCCTTCCCAGAGACACTGCCTTTCACTAAGTGGTCCTGAAGCTGCCTGGCCCCCGAGCTCTCTGTGCCACATTGCTGATGCTCTTGGAGTTTGAGTCTTGCTGGGCAACGATTCACTGCCCTCACAAGATGACGAGTGTGCTTCCTGCATTCCAAGCACTCTGCCCCAAGACTAAGAGCAGAGCACAGCAGCCTGTCAGCCAGAAGCTCGGGCTATGAGCTGAGGAAACAGCTCTGGCATAGCCCCGACACAATGTGTCCCCCAAACCTCTTGGAGTGGAGGTCAGGGTCAACAAAAACTCCTCCTACTCTTGACTTGGTGGGAGATTGCAGATGAACTGGTTTTCATGGGGACCAAGTAGCATCAGGGGCAACCAGCAAGGGTCACTGCTCTCGCCAACAAAAGTCTAGCTGGAGAGAGATGACCATGACTGTTGAAGGTCCAACAAGATGCCTAGAAAAGCCTCTATAGTGTTTCTCCAAAGGTATGGATATGAACAGCCTGGTTAAGTGGAAAAGCACTAACCAAGTAGTGATAATAGTGATTCCATCATTAGGATTATTTTCGTTACAGAATTTTTCTATGCAAATTAAAGGTTTTGCTATGCAATGAAACCACACTACACATACAATATGAGACTGATTTTATTTTACTTTATTTAATATTACCATTCTTTTCTTTTTTCTTGGGGGAGGGGTACCAGGGATTGAACTCAGAGGCACTCAACCACTGAGCTACATCCCCAGCCCTTTTTGGTATTTTTATTTAGAGACCGGGTCTCACTGAGTTGCTTAGAACCTCACCTTTGCTGAGGCTGGCTTTGAACTTGCGATCCTCCTGCCTCAGCCTCCCAAGCGGCTGGGATTATAGGTGTGCACTGCTGTGCCCAGCACACCATTATTTCCTACTGTTTTTAGTAGCTTTAGAATACATGCTCTCTAATTTGCCTATACCCAAACCGATATAACCATTTGCCTACTGTGGAATAGTTAGGTTGCTTCCAAAAAATTTCTTAGTGTAATCAACAATGAATAAACATATTCATTACTAAATAATTATGGACATCTGCAAATATTCTTCTTCTTTTTTTTTTGAAAAAAATCCTGCAAGTGGAATATCTAAAGGACAAGAACCTTTTTAGCACTCTTAGAAGTATCATCAGACCTTGTTTGAAAGATTTCAAAGGCATTTCTATCCCCGCTGCCTATGGCACAGTGAAGGTCTCACTTCAGGGACATAGAATTTCACACTCCCCCCCAATCAGAAGAGTTGCTCTCCTATCTCCACTGAGAAATTGGCACCTGGACTCTGTTTTGTTGCTTGTTGCATCAGTGGGATTTGCTAGATTAAGATTTCCATGCTAGAGACAATCCTTCCGGAAATTCCAGGGCCTCCAGTGTAATGCAAAATGTCTTATACCAGCACTCTGGTTTTAATCTCAAATGTACCTCAAAGGTCTGTGTGTTAAGGGTTTAGTCCTCAAGGTGGCGCTATTGGGAGACAGTGGAACCTTTAAGAGGTGGGGCCTAGTGGGAGGTCTTTAGGTCATGGGTATGCCTGTGAAGGGAATGATGGGATACCAATCTCTTTTGTTTCCCAGCCATGAGGTGAGCAGTTTTGTTCTTCCACAGGCTCCTGTATGATGTGCTGCCCTGCCACAGGCCCAAAGCAACAGGGCAAACCAATCATGGACTGAGACCTATAGAACTGTGACCCCCAAATGATCTTTTCCCTTTATAATTTGATAATCTCAGGTGTTTGTTATAGTGATACAAAGCTGACTAACATAACCAGTGATTTGAAACCTTCTGAGGTGCATCATATCACCTATGCAATATGTAAACCTACGGACGCTCAAGGCAAGATTGGCTGGAAAAATAATCACTAAAAATCATCCAAATACTGAGATAAATGGCTAAACACAAAAATTATTTATCAAAAAACCAACAGATATACACCAACAGCAGCCAGTTGAAAAATGTAATGCATGAAAAAAATCCTGTCTGTGAAGCAACAAAATGGTAAAGTTTTAGATTATCTTACTAAATTATATGTTAATGCTACATAAAGAAAACCTTTAAACTATTGACAAACATAAAATGAGACTGACAAACATAAAACAAGATTGATAAATAATGTGACATTTTTAAATTGACAGTGTCATATAAAAGTGTCATCTTTCCCCTAAGTTAATCTATGAATTCAGTGCAATGAGTTCTCTTGCACATGATTCTGGGGTTAGTCTAGAAGAAGAAACATTGATTAAATAGCCAGAAAATTATTTTAAAGTTGAAGGTAAATAAGTAGGAGCTATTAGATATTTATGTTTATGATGCAGCCTCTGCAATTAAAATATTTTGATGCTGATGAAAAAAATCGATACATCAATAGAAATTTTTAAAAAGCCATTTCCAGCTGTGATTAACTAGCTTGATAAAATAGCAGTTTCTGACTATGTTTAACTAGCTTGTATTAGACTAATTCTCCCACTGAGAATAACTCTAACAGTTGGATAAAGTGTAAAAAAATCTGTTTAAAGACATTGGACAGCAATCACAAAAATCCATGATTCTAGAGGTCAAGAGCAATTGACATTTTGTACAAATTTTCCAATTGAAGTAAAGTATTTGCTAGTTCATACAGTGCGGGTGTGAGAGGCTGAGCAAAAATCTGCAGATCTTACAGTAGTACATCGTGCTATAAAATCAAAATGAGAGTTTAGGGCTTGCCAAGGAGGAGCGTTGTGGTAAAGAGAAAAAATTTTCAAATGGGGGACTTGGGAATACTCATACTCTCTATAAAGAAGTAATACTCCATGTAAAGAAATAATCCAGCTTCCACTAGATGGATATCCATCTTCAGAGCAGCTCAATTCATGATTGAATGTAGGCAATCTTCTCCTAGGTAACAGACTGACAAAATCAAAACTAAATCCCATCTTGGGGAATATCATAGCACAAACAGCATTTCTAGTTTTCCATGTGAATGTCTAGTGCTCAATGAAAAAAAAAAATACCAGACATATCAAGAAGCAGGACTAAGACTAAAAAAGGAAACATTGGACACAGAAATGATGAGAGTCAGAACATAATACGGCAACACTGTTAACATGCCTAAAAAATAATCATCAACTCGGATTTTCATACCCAGTTAAAATATCCCTCAACATTGGAGGCAAAATAGGAATATATTCAGACAAACAAAAATGAGGAAATTTGGCATCAATAGACTTGCATCAAGAGAAATGTTAATGCCCGGTGTGGTGGCACATGCCTGTAATCCTATTGGCTGAGGCCCAGGGTTTGCTAGTTCAAAGACAGCTCAGCAAAAGCTAGGTGCTGAGCAACTCAGTGAGACCCTGTCTCTAAATAAAATACAAAATTGGGCTGGGGATGTGGTTCAGTGGTCGAGTGCCTGTGAGTTCAATCCTCAGTACCCACCCCCATCAAAAAAAAAAAAAAAAAAAGAAAAAAGAAAAAAAGAAATGCTGAATGTGTTTGTGACACAGAATGAATTAGTGCCCAAGCCCAGGAAGGCAGGACAGAAGCAGCAGCAATGGAAAGGACAATTACCTGGGTTAGTGTAAATAAGTGGTGAGTGTAAAAGGAACAATAGTACTGTCTTGTGGGTTGAAACACATGTGGAATTACTTTGAAGCCGATGTGTCCTTTTTCTATGACTTAAGATTCTATCTGTTGAACTGATTGGTAAGAAAATCATAATTTACCACAACTTACTGGGAGAAGCAAAGTTGACTCAGAAGAAAACCATTGCCTCAAGAGTATATGTGTGTGTGTGTGTGTGTGTGTAGCCCCTTGGACACAAACATAGGAGGAAGAAAATAATAACGTGGAAGAAATTAATGAAAAGGAAACAAACATGTAATGAAGAAAATCCACGGTAGAATTGGTAAATTCATTGTAGAATGGGGGTGGGGAAGGAGTGCGCAGAGGGAGAGTGTGGGTCCAGGGCTGGTGCGGCTGTGGAGTTCAGGCCCTCTCCTCTACACTGATGGCGATGAGTGTCATCAAGCTCCACTTGATGACATCCACCTAAATTAACAATGCAGCCCTTCCATAATTTAGTAATTGCACGGCTAGGCATGCACGCCGGATATACCGACAAAGTGCCCGTGTAGCAGGCTGCTTCTGCTGCACTCTGTGCAATGACAAGAAACAGCAGGCAGCTTAGGTGACCATGGGGCAGGGGCTAGACAAATAAATGAGCATTCCTTCCTCCCTATAATCGAACACTCGGTGACTATTACATATGAAGAATTCTGTATGTTCAATATGGTAAGCTTTCCAAAATTTATTGAGTGATAAAGGCAACAATCATGAAATTGCATACAGTATGATACTGGGTAAAAATAATGCAATCATCTATGCTATGTAAGTAGTTTATATATTGCGTATTTGTGTATTATTTTTATTTCCTGATTTCTCTCCCTCTCATATTATAATTAAAAT